CTTGCTACCGCGATCTCGCCCACAGGAAGCCGCGACCGCGTGGCAGCAGGGAAAATGGCCGCGGATCCGGTTCGTAACCCAAGGCGGAGTTCGCAAACCAAGATAAATTTTTGCAGCTGGAGCTGGTTGTAACCCAAAAAGTTCGTTAACAAAGGTGTTCGTAACCCGAGGTACCACTGTATATACAGAATCCCAAAGACCACATCTGCACATCAATGCAGACTGCCGAGTAGCCTTGGGTGGCCAGACAGCGCTTTTTAAAAACTCAATAAATTCACTGCTGCCAAACTTTGCATCGTCAGGAAGAAGCCACTGCCACTGCCACCGCAAAAGACATGCTACCAACCATCTCCAATGCTTCCAGGCCTCACTTACACTGCCAACTCCAGAGCTGCCACTGCTCCGCTAGCCACCAAACAGCATGAGTTTTTAACCATGCACCTTCTCTATAAATTCCCTGTGCTTCACCATCACCCATTCATTTCTCAACACTTACAAGCAACCACAGAATCAGAGAACAGAAGGCCATTCCACTTTAAAACTAAAGAACCATAAGAATGGAAAATAGGTGCCTTTAATTTACACATCATAATTAAGACTGTTGAGTGGGCAAGCATGTATCAACATACAGATTTCTCCACTATAATGAGATGTACTTTACATATTGAAATAACAATAACTTTCTAAATGTACTGTATACTAATAAATCACCATATGCAATTTTATTGAAAAGTTGGGAATCCTCTCTTCAGACAGTTACAATTATCAGTACACATGTAAACCAGAAACAACATTTTTGTTTTCATAGGCTTTCTGGTCAATACTACATTGAATCCTCAAGGTATTCACTTCAAAAGAATAACAGTCTATGTCTTGCAGTACTCATTAGGTTACCAAGATACTAACTACCAAACAATTTAAAGAGCTATTCTACATCTTTAAAAACATGTAATAGTTAAGAGCTGTAATAGAGTATAAAACCCTATAAAAATAAGTTTCTTTTTTTTCTCTCCCTCTCTTTGTACAGATTACAGTATTTTGTTGTTTATTTACAGTTCTACTGCCCAACAGATGCAACTTTTTAAAGAGCACAAAAGGTTCACGAAGCAACAAGTATTGATTTTTAATGTCATTTTTTTTAAAAAGCATTTGTCTTTTACAAAAAGAAGATTACTGCTCTGGCATCTTATAAAACAAGAGGTTCCTGTAAGATTTTTTGTATATATGGAATGACAATATACTTTATAGTCAGGCTGTTAACAAATATCCTCTGGGAAGATTATAATCCAAAACAAAACAGAACAATTGGTGAAACAGCAATTATTCCAAATATTTCCAAAAGACCTGTAGTAGTAGTGATGGGAAGCTTCAAGACAACTGCTAGAAGACAAACTCTGCCAAGTATGGTGCTTCTGCAGAATTCCTGACTTTTCTTACTGACAACTTTTCCTTCAGAGGGTGGATAAGAGTTATCGTTGACTTGATGTTAACCAACAGGAAAACTTACTGTACATTGTTAAAGAAGAAGGTGGGAATACCAGAAGGCTCAGAGGAAAGTGGTCATATAATGCTGGAGTTCTTGATTTTAAGGAAATCAAAGCTGAACTTAATTGAACACATATTTCAATTTCAAGAAAGCATATTTCAACAAATTCAGAGCAATGATAAATAGGATTCCATGGCAAGAGCAGCTAATTGGAAAGGGAGCTCAAGATTGGTAAGAGTTTCTAAGGAGATATTAAAAACACAGCTGGAAATACCATAATGAGGAAAAGAATGTAGGGCAGCAGAAGCAGCGAAAGTAACTGCACAAAAGATTTAGTGGAGGTCTGAAAATAAAAAAAAATAAAAAAAGGGTACACATATGAGATGAAAAGAGGGAGATTATGTATAGGTCGTTAGGAATTATAGAGATGGCATCAGAAACGCTACAGCTTCAAATGAGCTGGGGTTCACAAAGAATGCTAAAAAAACCAAAAAAGATCTCTTTAGATATGTTCAGAATAAAAGGAAGAGAAAAAAATCAGTACATAGCTCCTCAGTGAAAATGACAAATTGCTAACAGATAAAAAAGAAGGAACTATTCAACATTTATTTTGATTCAGTCTTCTCTAAGAAGAAGGTATGTGTTCCACCAAACAATTGTAAAGAAAAGGAGGCAGAGGCAGAAAGAAGATGAGACTGATAGAAACCTGGTCAAGGAATTTACTGCAATTGAGTTTAAATCTACAGGACCAGATGAATTGCATTATTAGTGCATTATTATTAAAGGAACTAGCTGATAGTTTAAACAAACTTTACATGTTATTTCTGAGCAATCCTGAAGAACAGTAAAGTGCCTGACAACTGGTAGAAGGAAATTATCCCTATCTTCAAAACACCAATGGGAAAAGGAAGATAAAACTACTAATTAATCATTCTGGCACTAGTACCTGAGAAAATTCTAGAGATCATAAACATAGTGATTTATAAAGACACTGAATACCATGCAGTAAATATCAGAAGTCAAGAATAAAACTTGCAAGATTAACATATTTTGATTGGGTTACTTCTTTGAAAGATTGTGGAGAATGCTGTGGTTATAATATAACTCGATTTCAGGAAAACATTTAGTGTCCGTGACATTCTGATTAGCAACTAAATATGCACGGGTTGGACGGCATGATAATTAAGTATATACATAGATTGCTCAAAAATGATACTCAGAGAATATTAATCCTTGGCTCCTCATCAAACT